TACATTGTATATACTATGGGGGTAGTGACAGGTGTAATGATACATTGTATATAGCATGGGTGCTGCTGGAAGGTGCATCTTTCTGGTTATCAGGCAACTGGTGTAATGTAATGATACATTGTATATAGTATGGGGGGGAGTAGTGATAGGTGTAATGATACATTGTATATAGTATGGGGGTAGTGACAGGTGTAATGATACATTGTATATAGCATTGGGGTAGTGACAGGTAGGACAGGCAGCTTACAGGCAGATCATGTGACCCCCTCAAAGCACCTGCTTCCCACCTTCCAGCAGCCACAGCTCCTTCATGTCTCTGGCTGCTCCAACATGACACTGACCTGCATCTCCAGCTACATCAATGCCTTATTACCCCACCCCAGTCTCACCACCATGAATACCCTCCCAGCCTCCTGCCTCCTACTCAACCTCCAACATCTGCTCACTGGATTCAGCAGTTGTAGGGGCAGGGCCAGAAGGTGAGTGGATCTCACAACCTGCAGAACGGAAAGAGCGGGCTCAGGTCACGTGATGGGGCGGCGGCCATCTTTCTGTTTATTAGGAAACTGGTGGCGTGTGACACCTGAGCATGGGGGAGCATGGCTCAGGGCCATTGCAAGGTGTGGCGAAGGGGCATTTTTCAACACCCCACGGCTGCTTATGCAGCCGTACACTAGCACCGGCCCTGTTTTGGTCCCACAACAATGACTGGGCCCGGGGTAATGGCCCCTTTTGCCCTGTTAATGAAAGCCCTGTGCTTGGCTTTAGAATATAATGGCTGACTCTGTCTCGACCTTGGCAATCGCCCCCAACTGACATGTGTAGACAGAACAGGACCTAAGGGGGAATCTACTCGAACAGCATATTGGCTATTAAGCCGGGAAAGGTCAGAACTAGGGATGAGCTCAGCCCGGTACAAAACTCTCATCCAAAAAAGGAGGCTACATTAGCCTCCCACTTATTCAGCTGCAGGTCCCTTTCCCCGCCCCACAGCTGACCATAAACAAAAGGGGAGGGAGGGTGCTTGTCATTTACCCTGTATGGCCACATGGCCACATTAGGTAAATGTAATTTACTCAATATAACCTTGTAGCCATATAAAGTCAGCGACATTACTGAAACCACCCTCTTTGCTTACATCAAGCTGCAGGCAGAAAATGCCTTGTCTGCAGATGAATGGGTGGCACAGAAGCTTCCTTCTGTGTTTGGGAGGTGCTCCTTCTGGGTTCAGAGGAGCTCCTTCTGGGTTTGGAGGAGCTTAGGCTTGGGCCGAACCTAAGCTCATCCTTAGTCAGAACCTTAGACAGATTTTTATTGCTCATTGTCCCACAATGTGGAGATTTCCCTTGCCTTGCTATGCAGATGACAGGTGTCAGACAGAAGAGGAAATGAGGTAAAATCAATCGGCAAGCAGGACAGCTTCAAATTATATTTCTTCTTTTACAATACACAGTTCTCCATTTATCACCATCCTGGTCAATCATGATATATCACTGCTGCCTATATTTATTTACTTTAAGGTACACCCCTTTTCTTCCTCATTTTTCCTCGGCTGACTCATTTCCTACACAAAATCCCTCATCAGGAGGTGACCTTTGCAAATATATAAAATTCAGAAGACCTGCGGCTCCAGCAATGCCTGAGAGTCATCTACTACTCAGCTGGCTGAGATTTAATTAACACTTTGGCCCTTCGAGCAGGGGTAAGGCACATGGATGAGATTTAGTATGCATGTTTATGCATGCAGGTGGGCGGGAAGAGGCTTTCACTGTGGCTGCCCACGCTGTGCAGTTTCGTTCCCTGTGCTGAGCCTTGTGAATTTGCACGCGGAGGGGGAGTCCGTTGCTTTTAAAACAAATCTAGAGAGAGGCGAGCGGGGAACTCAATATCCCCTGCCGAGTATGGATTCAGTATTGGCCCGTCTGAAGACACTGTGTGCGTTTTTCCAGTGTATTCACACAAACATTATTAGCGGCCTCTGTGGGAGCTCAAGGAGCAGCAGCTATTGCTGGCGCTCTACTAATAATTAAAATGAATTATAAGCCGGTGTTAGTGCAGTAGCATATTGCTCTGACGAGAGCATAGCCACTGAAGAATTCATGCACATTATGGTATATGAAAAGCAATTACCACTTACTATATTAATGAGATCTTTTTTTTCTGTTCATCTTGCTACGATGACCTAGATTACCGGTATCAAAAGCTTGGCAGAGCAGTTGGCTGTTCCATTAAAATCAGTACAAATATGATGTCATACTCAGACATACCGCATAGCTTCCAATTGTCTATCATTTGGAGGGACTCTCCTTCTTTTGGAACTAAATTGCTCTGTCTGTCTTTCATCCTTAGTGTTCCTTCTTTTTGGTCTGATGTACAGACTCCTCATAAAAAAAAAAAAAATCACCAAAAGGGTTATGCCTACCACATGCCTTACAATATGTAGAATTTTTCCCGAATGAAAATAACATTCGTGGTTAGAATTTTGTTCATTCAGATAAACGAGATACATTTTCCATCCTGCTCCTTCCATTTTCCTCCTCACTAAGGTCAAAAACGAATGTTGATTAGACCCCAATAATCATTAGGAAATTGAATGGATGTTCAGAAAATGAAAAATTTTACTTTACTTAAATTTCATCCAACTTGCAGTTTCACACTGATAGTAAAACCTCCTGAATTTGCAGTTACGCACTGATAGTAAATCCTTCTGTATGTCCAATTGCACACTGATAGTAAAACCTCCTGTACTTGCAGGTACACACTGACAGTAGATCCTCCTGCACTTGCAGCTGCACACTGATAGCAAAAACTCCTGTACTTGCAGGTGCACACTGAGAGTAAATCCTCCTGCACTTACAGTTGCACACTGATAGTTAATCCTCCCGTACTTGCAATTGTACACTTATAGAAAAACCTCCTGCACTTGCAGCTGCACACTGATAGTAAAATCTTTTGTACTTGCAGGTACACACTGATAGTAAATCGTCCTGCACATGCAGTTGCACAGTGATAGTAAAACCTTCTGCACTTGCAGCTGCATACTGATAATATTGTGCAGTTGTGCATTGATAATATAACCTCCTGTTCTTGCAGGTACACACTGTTAGTATAACCTCCTGCACTTGCAGTTGCACACCGATAGTAAATCCTCCTGTGCTTGCAGCTGCACACTGATCGTAAATTCTTCTGCACTTTCAGATGTACACATAGGAAACCCTCCTGTATGTGCAATTGCACATTGATAGCAAATCCCCTTGTACTAGCAGTTGCACACTGATAGTAAATCTTCCTGTGCTTGCAGTTGCACAATGCTAATAAAACCTTCTGCATTTGTAGCTCCATGCTTATAGTAATATCTCCTACAATTACAGTTACACACTTTTGACATGTGGAAAAATGTATTGAAATGTTACATTAAAATTCATATATCAACTAACCAAATTATGTGTAAACTTAAAGTGGGCATTTACAAAAGTGCCATCTGTTGCATATAACAATCAACCAGACTATTTATGCTTTCATTTTTCTGATCTAGATTTGTACCAGCTGCACTCTGATTGGCTGCAGACATTTTCCTTCCAGACATTTTTCATAATGCCTTGTTGACTACAGTTTTCTTTTCATTTATGTTTACAGGAAAGGCCCACCTGTATGTCTGACAATTGGTTCAAAAGGAATAAGGGAGGACTTCTTCCGTTTTGCAGCATGATCAGAGATCAACATGGATAGAAAGTGACCTCTCAAACAGTCTTTTATACATGCCATCTCACTTCAAGGAACTTACACTTGGGTATGTGGAGCCAAGTATGTGTTGGAAATAAAACAGCATACACTGAGCTGTTGATGGTGCTGTAGTGCAATGTTAGTCTCTATGTGCATGCTTATCTATGATACACAGGAAGTCTGTTTCCTGCACAATGCTGTGCACACAGATGTAATGTTCTTCTAAGCAAGTCAAACTTAATTCAGCATTCCTCAAGACCTCAGTGCCTCCTCTAAACACATAACCAACAGCATGCAGGTGACACTACTCAAACAATATACAACTTTTACTGGGTAAGTCAATGTGGCAAAAAAACAGGAGGAACCTAAAGAATGATGTCTTGGGTCCAGACTTCTTGGGACTGATGATGTATTCTAAGTTGGTGCCCTGAAGCTAAGGCCACCAATGTGCTTGTGAAATATCTAAATAATTGCCCTCCCAGCTGCCTTTTCACTTGATGAACTATGGCAACTCTTTCTCCAAAAACGTTGAATCTGTACAGTGCGTATTACAGATATGGGCTCTTATTTCAAACAACCCTCACTTTCCATGTGGATTATTGAGTTGGGGAGTAAAATTTTGGACACAATCTCTTTCCCAGGGTGCTCAGAGATTCACCCCTGAATAGTTACACCACTGCCCTGTCATCAAAGGATATAGCTTCCAGGCTTGTTGTTGTGATGAAAAATAACAATATTAAAGCTGAACTCCAGACAAAAATCTAAACTCGATCAATACATTTGATCTGCCTTACCTGCTAAAGGATTTCTATTTTAATTTATGTCCATCCAGTCTTGGATTTACACAGACCAGCCAGTCTGGTAACCTGACTTTTGTCTGCTGTAGTTAAGCACCACAATTGGTTACCACCCAGCCCACATCCTGGACATAGCAACTAGAAACCTATAAGGTCATCTCTCTGCTCTCTTCTCTAGGCATCATGTTCCGTGTCAGCAACCTGATTGGCTTGAAGTGTTCTACCTCCCTCTTCCCATTTCCCAAAGGGCTGCTGTACAGGGGATTGCAAGAGTCTAAAATGCAAGCCAACTTCAAGTTTTTGTACCAGTTGCTTTTTTGAATATCAGTCTGGAGTTCAGTTTTAAAAGTACAATTCTTACTATTTTAAACAAAGAAAAAACATATATACTTTATCAATTAGCACAGCACCAATCGATATGCTTAGTCTTTTTTTTTTTTTCAAATCTGGTACATAAAAGGCACGCATTGTTTAACTCACCTAGGGGAAATGTCACACCCCTGTTGCATAAATGCTCCCAGTGAAAACCAGAGGCTATTAAATATCCCAAATTCATTTGTATGGTCCGTAGAAGGTGGCTCTCTTCCCTCTTCATACTCTTCATTGTGCCACTCATATGGGCTAAAACGACTGACCAAAAAGAGCACCACACTAACTCCAATGTAGGCAAACACTATGCACATCCAGATCTCATAGGCCAGTGGATCCAAAAAGGAGAAGACACCTGGCTTGGATTTCTGAGGCTTCTTGATCATGATGGATATACCCAAGCTCATAAAAGGTTTGGAAAAGTCAATAACTTCTTCTCTGACCAGAGTAATCGTCAATGGAGCCACCGCAAGATCTGCTCTCTGAAAACATAGAGACAAGCACAATCAATATTTTTCAGAAACTCTTTTTCTTTGAATTTTTTAAAACTAAAAATGGTTATGACAAGTAAGTCCATAAGTAAGTATAAATAGTTTATAGTACGTATGTGGTCGGTACAAAGACACAATGTTCAAAAAGGTGCTTTGCTAAATAAACTAGTATTGAGGCAGCTTGTATTATAAAATATTAAATGTTTCGGAATGTAATCTTTGTATTTTCATGGGAATTATCGGCACATTTGTTCAAGCTAAACACCAAGTAAACAGAAAGTCCTGGAGCAAAAGACAAAAAGAATAGGTGAAGGGACTACATGACAGGGTGGGCAGACAATCAGTCAAAAAGGGGTAAAGTTATATGGGTGTGGTTGGTGGCCACTTACCTAGATTGGCCAGTTTAATTTGTACAGTAGGAGTCTCTGTGGTGGTCTGAGGGGGTCCAGTCAGTCTGGAGCTCTCATACGGCGAGTACACTTCACATCCTCCCTCCCTTGTCTGTTTGTTTTGTTTGTTGTTGTCATCAGAGCCGGATCTCCCACAAGGCCAACCAAGGCCCGGCCTTTGGGCAGCAGGGAGTAGAGAGGCAGCAGGGGTGTGGAATTCCTATCTCCCGCTGCCTGGGGCATGCAGTTCTGGACGGGTAGTTGTTTTCTACATTAAGCCCTGCTTTGGGTAAGCAGAGCTAAATGTACAGTGGGGAAGCCGCCTCTTGTTATGTACCGGTGATACCAGCAATGTATTGTTTGCAGCCTGCAGGTCTGCCATTCTCCATGGGGGGGGGGGGGGTTTTTTTGGGGCAGGAGAGAGAGTAAATCCGGCCCTGGTTGTCTTGTTTTCTTTTAGCTGTATGGCTTGTTCTGTGTGGGTGAGGGTGATGGTGTTTGTGCCTACTGTTGGACTCATCTTTGGTGCGTAGTCCTTGGTTCTGGTGGGTTCAGCAGAGAGAGGTCCAAGAGCTATGTGTAGGAGGTCTCTGCTGTTACTTAATCTCTTGTCCCTGAGTCGGTGCGTTGCGGCTCGGGGCCAGTTGTTTATGTCGTCTGCAGAGATCCACTGTATCAGAGTAATGGTGCCCTCACAGACCTCAAGCCATATAGGCATAGGGATACATTGTATTGATATTTTTTATAAACTAATGTTTTAGTTGCAATTCTGTTTCAAAATATATCTTTTAATAAATGGCTGCTACAGCCATTTTATATCCAATCCTGTGTGGTCTCTTAGTTGTGGGTGGGGGTTCAGGATGAGTAGCCGCTGTAGCAGGGTTTTGAGTGGACTGATGGCTTATGTCTTACCCTGTCATGTTAAATACATACTATTTACAAAGCCTGCCAAGACCAGAGCCACCTTGGTTAGCTGACTTGTTCCTATTGTAGTAAAGCGATACATCTTGACCACCTCCCCGCCCCCAGTCTGTAATTGGACTAAGAATGAGCAGCGCAGATGGAAGAACTCATCTGTCTGCTCATGCAGCAAAGATAATCATGTAACAGAGTCTAACTGGCTCCTAGTGCTGGTCATCCTACTCTTAGCTTTAAACGAGTCCAATACAAAGTCCAGTTTACTTAACTTACACTACCGGCATTAAAATAAATGTAATGATTTATTTATTGAATGCATAACTGTATTATTTGGTGTTTTTATGTCTTTCTGCAATTCAGCTTTAGCTCATACAGAATAATTTAATATATTGAGAACGACATTTTTACATACAGCCATGGCAGTTGCTACTAATGAAAGGCTAATAATACAAAGAAATAGTGAAATTTTTAGCAGACCAGCTCTTAATTGTGAACATCATCAAATTTGTGTAGACAAAACAATGCTGAAGACCGTCTAAAAAAAACAAAGGTTACTTACTACACAAATACTTTTAGATATACCATACTTCTGAAAAATACCAGACTTGCCAGATAGTCAACTGGACTTTCTAGGTTCTAAGAACATGACATCAATTCACAAAATAACAGTCAAAGGAGAACTATGAGATGAGTGATTTCCACTCACCTCATAGTTCTAGCCGAACTGTGACAATGAGACTGTCACAGGTCAGCTTAGTAGATCGGGAGGTGAGCGAACACATACCAGCAGGGCCGTCTTTACCGCAGGGCATAAGGGGCACTTGCCCTGGGCTCCATAACGTACAGGGGCCCACAGCAGCTGTCCTTTTCACACCCAGCGGCAAACAGAAAATGAGCTGTGCGTTTGAGCCGGTGGGGAGACAGAACGGACATCCGTTCTCAGTAGCAGCCAACCTGTGAAGTGACCGTCCGTCTGTGTGTGTGTCTCCTGCTGTGATCTCCTCCCCCGATGCCTGTCACAGGGATCCAGCAGGCACGGAGGAGAAGGAGGGGGGAGGGTACAGCCAGACAGCACAGGTAAATCTGAAAAAAAACAAACAGTTAACATCATTTTCTTTATCTTTATTTACACTTATCTCTATTTAACTTTACATCTGTCTTTAGCACACAGGCTGGGGTCTGGGAGCAGGACTGGGGAGGAAGATTCTGGACTGCGTTGTATTTACAGGCATATCACTAAACATGTGCTGAAATGTATATTCAGTCCATGTGTTTAGTAACATGCTGTGTAATTGCAATACAGATTTTACTAATTTATCCATGTTCTGTACTACCTGATAAATCATACAATTAGATTTAAATAAAAATCGTATTGCATGATTTATCAAGTAGTATAGAACAAATATACCAATCAGTGGTGGAACTATCGCCATTGCGAACCAGGAGGCAGCTATGGGGCCCGCGGCACAGGGGGGCCCAGCCAGGAGAAGGAACAAAGAGGCCCCCCTGATGCCATGCAGGCTGCCTGGGTCGTTATGGCATCGAACGCTGCTGGCTGTCACTGGCGTCTGTGAGGAGGAATGCGCCGCTGTTCAGTTCACTGACAACCTGTCAGTGATCTGTGCAGCGGCGCGTTCCTCCTCACAGCCGCTGCTGAGTTAGTAACAGCCAGCAGCTGCGGTGGAGGAAGCCAGCGTCGGCAGTGGGGGAAGAGGCAGGGCCCGGTAGAGGAGGAGACGGGCCCACCGGCTACCATGGAGGGGGAGGAGGCAGGGCCCAGTGGTGGAGGAAGCTGACAGCGGATTGGGGCTGACAGGAGAGAGTTGTGCAGGGGTGTGACCAGCCCACCTGAGACCCTGTAGAGCGCACTAAAGGGAGTCTATGGTGGGCTCTGCAGGGTCATTCTCAGGTGGGCTGTGTGGAGTCTCAGGTGGACTCTGCAAGGGGTGTAACTAGAAATCACAGGCCCCCAAACAAAATTTTGCTATGGGGCCCTGTGATTTCTAGTTATGCCCCTGGTACTAATGCATGGTTATATTAGTAAAATCGTTATTGCTTTTACATTACATGACCCCGCACACTTGCTGCAGAGTGTACTGCATTTGCAACATATGCATTCGACATATAATATACACAGAGGCATTTGTTAAAAATGCAACGCACCATGCAGCAAGTGTTTGGGGGCATGCAATGTAAATGCATCACCGATTTTACTGATATAACCATGAGGTGCTACATTTGTTCTGTACTACCTTATAAATCATACAATAAGATTTTTAATT